GATAAACGCATGGTGGAAATCAGGATTATATATCTCCATTCTCCATTGATCAAATAAATATAGAAGTTGTACAAACTTACATATATCAGTAAAGCATGGCTCTTTAGAGACTGGGTCCTCTTCAACGGCGGTGGAACTTTGCCATACACCATTTCACAACTCCTATCTTCAAAATCTGCAGCCAATTCAGAAAGCGCTATCCACTTGGAATGTGTTGCATCAAATTATACAAGAATTTCAGCCTTAAATCCCAGTTTTTGGGCACAATATAACCAAAATAATCAGACATACTTGGAATCATGGTTAAGGAAAGTCCAAATTCATTGGTGAAGAAATCTTGTGTAGGAAACTTGCACATATTCACACACATTCTATAGAAAAACTTAATATATATTTCATATATCAAACAGTTACAAATTCATACATAAATAGAAGAAGAAACGGGAAGAGAGTGAAGAACAAAAGGTAGGGGACAATGGCAGCTAAGCTAGCTTTACAACTAGGGGACAATGGCAGCTAAGCTAGCTTTACAGCCACTAACAAGCTTTACACTGATGAGGGAATAACAACAGCTAGATAAAGACTTAGTGCTAGTATTAGCTGTTGTTATTCTTCCAACTGTATTAGGGTTAAAGACTGATATTCAATACTCCCCCTCAAGCTGGATCGAGAGATTTTCTGGATCCAAGCTTGAAGAGAAGACGATCAAGTTGTGCAGAAGGAAGAGGCTTGGTGAACACATCGGCAAGTTGATCACTGGAGCGAACAAATACAGTTTGTAACAGTTTGGACTGAACTTGGTTGTAGACGAAATGACAGTCAACCTCGATATGCTTTGTGTGTTCATGGAAGACGGGGTTGGCAGCTATATGCATCGCTGCTTGATTGTCACAGTGGAGGAGAATTGGCTTGGAAGAGATGATTTCAAGATCACGTAGCAAACTCTTTAGCCAAATTAGTTCGCATGCAGTAGATGCCATTGCACGGTACTCAGCTTCTGCGCTTGACCGAGCTACAACGGATTGCTTTTTGCTCTTCCACGTGACGAGGTTACCACCAACAAGAGTGCAGTAACCAGTTGTGGACTTGCGATCAAGTACGTTGCCTGCCCAATCAGAGTCTGTGTATCCTTCAATGGTGAAGTGTCCGTTGTTTTGCATGAAAATCCCGGTAGACATTGAGCTTTTCAAGTACCGAAGGATCCTTTTAACTAGTTGCAGATGATGAGATGAGGGAGAATGCATGAACTGGCTGACAAAGCTAACAGCATAAGCAATGTTAGGTCGGGTTATAGTCAAATAGATAAGTTTTCCTACCAATCTTTGATACTCCGATGCATTTTCAAGCTGGATGCCTGAGGTTTCATCCTTGACATTTGTTGGTAGTGGTGTTTTGGCAGGCTTGCAATGCATCATATTGGCTTCTTCTAAAAGATCGAGAACGTACTTTTGTTGATTTAGAAACAGACCAGTTGGAGATTGATCCATTTCGATTCCAAGAAAGTATCGGAGTCTGCCAAGATCTTTGATTGAGAAGGTTGAATGTAAGGTAGCTTTGAGAGCAGTTATTTCTTCTGGATTATCTCCTGTGACAATAAGATCATCAACATAAACAAGTACCACCAATCTTCCATGCGTACCAATCCTAGTGAACATTGAGGAATCTGCATTGCTTCGTTTAAAACCGGATGACATAAGGACTGAGTTCAGTTTTGAGTACCAAGCCCTTGGAGATTGCTTGAGACCGTAAATGGCCTTGTGAAGCTTGCAGACTATTCCTTGTTCCTTCTCTCGTTCATGACTAGGTGGTAGGTGCATGTACACCTCTTCTTCTAACTCCCCATGTAGGAAAGCGTTTTTTACATCCATTTGATGTAGAGACCAGTGTGAATTGATAGCCACCGAAAGAAGCACTCTAACTGTATTCATCTTTGCCACCGGGGCAAAGGTTTCTTTGTAATCTACCCCGAAGGTTTGCGTGAAGCCCCTTGCAACTAACCTTGCCTTGTGCCGCTGTATGGTTCCATCTGAGTGAAATTTTGTCTTGTAAATCCATCTTGCCCCAACCACTCGTTGATCTTTTGGCAGAGAAACAATGCTCCAAGTTTTATTTTCATCGAGTGCCTTCAGTTCTTCAAGCATGGCACGCCTCCATACAGGAGATTGGTTTGCCTTTTCGAAGGATCGAGGCTCAGAGTTTTGAGATAACTTAGTAACAAAGGCTGCATGAGATGGGGAGATCTTGCTGTGGTAAACCATTTGTCCAATAGGATATCTAGGCGTGTAGATTTCAAAATCATCAAGCCTGGCTGGAGGTTGTCGGTTTCGAGAAGGATTCCTTCGTGGAGGAGGAGGTTGTTCAAGTTGGGGCTCTCTCCTTTCGTGGAGGACTTCTTCATCATTTGCTTCCATATTTTCAGGAGCTGGCTCTATCTCAACAGCTTCATTGTGCGGTGTTGACAGCCTTGGATCATCAAGGAAGAGAGGAGTGGGAAACACTTCATATGAGAGCTCCCCCTGAGGTTCATCATCATGCTTCTGAAAGAAGGAGTGTGTCTCATCAAACCGTACATCCCTGGATACAAACACCTTTCTGGTCTTAGAATCATAGCATTTGTATCCCTTTTGGGAAGTTGAGTAGCCTACGAATGCACACTTGATAGCCCTTGGATCAAGTTTATCTCTGTGAATAGTTTGAATGTGCACATAGCATACATCCAAACACACGGAGATGACTTATGTCAATATCTTTCCCCTTGAGAATTTGGTAAGGAGATTTAAACTTCAAGATTCTGCTAGGAAGGCGATTGATGATGTATGCAGCGGTTTGTATAGCTTGAGACCAGAACTTCTTTGGAAGATTTGCTTGTAACATTAGTGATTGTGTTTTCTCAAGCAAATCTCGGTTCTTCCTTTCTGAAATGCCATTTTGTTGTGGCGTTCCTACACAACTTGTTTGTTGCAAAATTCCATGCTCACTTAAGTAAGTTGTCATGATTTTGGAAGTGTACTCAGAGCCATTATCAGACCTTAAGATGCCAATATTAGAGTTAAAATGATTTTGAACTAAGTTATGAAAATTTTTGAAACACTGGAAAGCTTCGTGCTTGAATTTAAGTAAATACACAAAGGTAGTTCTAGAGAAATCATCAATGAAAGATATATAGAATCTGTAACCATCAAAAGACTCTATGGTTGCAGGTCCCCAAATGTCGGAATGGACAATTTCAAAAGCTTTGGTAGCTCTAAAGAGAGAGTGGGGAAAGGGTAACCTGGTAAACTTAGATTTGTGACAAACTTCACAATCTGGGATCTCTTTACAGAAACTAGGAAAAATAAAAGACATAACAAGTGAAGAAGGGTGAGCTAATCTCATGTGCCACAGCTGCTCCTTGTTTACTGTGTTTGAGTTTACGTAGAAACTCTTTGGAAAACTTGAAGAGAAGTTGACATAGTACAGGCCATTGAGGAAGAAACCTTTACCAATCGTTTCCTTCGAAACTCGATCCTGGAAAATCACACAGTGAGTGGAAAAAATTGCAAGACAATTGAGCAATTGTGTTATTCTTCCTACTGATAGCAGTTTGAAAGGAAAAGAAGGGACATGCATGACAATGGATTCTTTTTGACTTGAGAAGATTTTGAGTTTCCCTATGCCGACTATACGAACTTTGGTGCCATTAGCTACGGAGACAAAAGAAGGAGTGGAAAAGTTTTGAAAATCATTTAGTAAAGATGCATCGTTAGTCATGTGATCAGAAGCTCCTGAGTCGACTATCCAAAAATCACGACTACTACTAAGATCCAATGCAGTGGAAATAGTTGCAACAATACCTGGCACGTCTTTTTGTGACACTGAGCTTGATTGTTCGAGGAAGCCAGCAAACTTGCCGAGCATGGCTGAGGGACTTTCATGATTTGTTGTTCCTTGTTTCTGTTGCAAGAAGTTAGGAAACTCATTTATGAGAGTAATGGGACTAGAAGAAGAGTTCATCACATTATTGGAGGCATTGTCGCAAACAAGGTTTCCTCTAGGAGTGTAGGCAGGCTTCATTTGGTTTCTTGGTGCTCTTCCATCATCGTTGAACTTGGGTTTAAGTTCTGGATGAAGAATCCAGCATTTTTCTTTTATGTGTCCAACGCCTGGACGACCTATCTTCACACAGTGAGAGCACTTTAAGTCTGGTCGTTTTCCCTTGTATGGTCTGGAAAAGGTGAAGGCTCTCGCTTCTGATGGCCTAAGATCTGATTCTCCAATGACCACGTCTGCATTCATGACATTCTTTCTTATTTCTTCGCGTTGAATAACATTGCAGACCATCTGGAAGGTGGGAAGTTCAGGTGTCATCAAGAGATGGCTTTTAAGGTCTTCATACTCTGGTCCAATGCTGGCAAGCAACTGGAATACCTTGTCTTCTTCAGCACGCTTTAAAAGAATGGTTGTATCCGTGGTATGAGGTCTGTAGAGATCCAATTCATTCCATTTGGCCTTCAAGTTGCCAAGATGTTGAACAAAGGAGAGATTTCCCTGTTGTAATTCTGTAAGATCTTTCTTCAGCTGGAAGACTCACGCAGCATTGTTTAGATCTCCATACATGTCTCGTATAGAATTCCAAAGGTGGTGAGATGACACTGAATAACTGAAAATCTCAGCCATCTTTGGTTCCATAGAATTTAACAGCCAAGACATGATAAGTTGATCTTGGGACACCCATGCTGCATAATCTGGTGAAGTTGTTTCGGGCATGATATCATCCTTTTGAATGAACGGGAGCTTTCCACGTCCTCCAAGAGTGAGAGAAATAGCTCGTGACCAGGGCAGATAGTTGAATTCGTTTAAGAGCACAGAGCTCAAACGTTGAATTGGGTTGGTATCCATGGTTTCATTTTTTGAAATTTTCTCTGATGGTGTTGCCATAATGGCTTAACTGGTTTGGATTTGGTAGGATTTCAGAAGAACACAGATGCAGGTCCAAGAGGGATCACTGCTCTGATACCATATAGAAAAACTTAATATATATTTCATATATCAAACAGTTACAAATTCATACATAAATAGAAGAAGAAACGGGAAGAGAGTGAAGAACAAAAGGTAGGGGACAATGGCAGCTAAGCTAGCTTTACAGCTAGGGGACAATGGCAGCTAAGCTAGCTTTACAGCCACTAACAAGCTTTACACTGATGAGGGAATAACAACAGCTAGATAAAGACTTAGTGCTAGTATTAGCTGTTGTTATTCTTCCAACTGTATTAGGGTTAAAGACTGATATTCAATACATTCCTACACACCCATTGTTCTCCAGGTATCTTGATGAGCAAGAATGTCAAAGTTAGAAAATTAGTTTTTGCTTCACCCCATCACTTTAATCTGTATAGTTGCAGTTCTCCAAAATGATAAAAAACTGGTTTGTATGTGTGTGTTTCAATCGTGATTCCAATCTAATCTAACTACAAAGGGAGTTTCGGATGCAAAGTGAGAGTACACTACTCTAGCTAACTTGGATATGCCTAGGTTTGAAATTGGTATGTGTACGTGTTAACCTAGATGAATTTAATTCAATTTATACATTATGAAATATAAAATAATTCCACCTGCATTTCTTTATATGAACTCCACTGCTTTGCTTCACCCCATTTATCTCAACTTCTTCAACCTGGTAGTTGCCCATAGATTAGTATATCAGAAACAACTCCAAAATGAAACCGCAAATCAAAGATTAAAATTTGACATTGACCAAAACCAAATTAATATGTCAAATGATAGAATAATTGTGCAACTTCTAGTTTTGTGACAAAACTACATTCATGCTATGCACATAGAGTCTGGCTTAAACAGTATAATTACCTCAGAAGGCCCAACCAACCAGTGGAAGAAAGGAACTGTCAATGCAGCATTGAACTCAGCTGCCCACTTTGTTGGTTGAAATAGTTTCTTAAACCGCAAGAACAATAGGTTAATAGTTGATTACCTACTGAAAACGATCTTATAACAATTGTGATTAGATTAAACTGCATTCACACATGAACTTTGAGCACTTAATCACACTGCCTAAAGTGGTTAATCATATATGCTTGTTCAATAATGTAGACAACAAATTGAACTAAACAAACCAAACCCGATTCCCTTCACATGGAGATCGGCACGTGGTGCTACATACTATGACTGAACAACATGGTTGATATGTTATGGACTTAGAGTATAAAAAGGTCGTACCCAGTGCACAAGGCTCCCGCTTTACACTACAAATTTATACCCAACTATCAAGTTTTTGAAGGTAAATGATCAAATTAATGAATGGATATGATCATCCAACAGTACATTAATCACTAAATATTCAAATTAATAAGATATAAACCAACATTAGAGGACTGAAAACTTTGCATTAATCCACCTGCTCTGGCGCACCTGGAGGCAGCATAGACAAGAGCACTTCTCGAACCACTTTCTGTTGCTGACTCCGAGACCTTCCCTGCATCACTCTCTTCGAAACATCCACAAAGCTCTCATAGTCATATCCCACCACGGCTTCTCCTTTGTCTCAGTTTTCGCATTCACCGGAGCTGCAGACTTCATCATTTTTCGAGCAAACAGAGTCATGAATCCCCTCTCGAAAAACCCATCATTGTACATTGTTTTTTTCCCCATTGGAGCTGGCTCTCCTAATGGCTCTGAAATCCGATATCGGACGGAACAACCACAAACACTCGGTTTACATGATGATAAGTGTTTAGGCGTTGTAAATTGGACAGGTTGAAGGCTTAGAACCACCATGAAATTATCCAGTTTAGTTTTGTTGGTGCAAAGAAAAGAAATGGGATTTAAAAAGCTCAGAAAAACTATGGAAAATGCATGACTCAGAGTTTTAATGGGACTGGTTTTTGGTTCATACAATTGACCTGAATAGATCATTTCTGGTTGAGTTTTGCATTGTTTTCGTGACAAAATATTATGGGCACACATGCCCTTTTCTCTTTTTCGTTTTTTGAAAGAGATTTTATATGATTATACCCATTCCTATTTATTAGTTCCTCTATTTTGTCAAATTATAAGAGAATCCCAGATCCTTATTATCTTTCTTTTCTACATAACCGATACTCTAAACTATTCTAACTTGTAGACATACAGATTTAAGTTTAATGTAAGAGAGTGAACACACTGTCCTGATGAAGTGACATTTACGTTTATATATCAAGAAGATTGCATATGTTATCACAATGAGGGGGTTATTTGTAGATTCAATGCAGACACGTAGGTCCCTATTTTCTGAGGTTCTGGAGGACCACGGAGGTTCATAATAATAGTTTTTGGTGGGTGGATTTGAGTCTAAGAGCACTTCTTCTGTGGGCAATAGCCCTGTGGATAGGCTTCAAATCAAGTCCAATCCCCCCCCTCTCCCAAAACCCCTCCAGCCTACCTCGGGCAATTGGACTAAGGAAAGCCCAAGCAACAAGTTAGGCAATAATCTAAGGCCCCAGAGCATGGATGGATGTGACATCAGACTGACATCAGCATGACATCAACCATCTGTCAAATTTTTTTTGCATCAGGCGCGAATGGTGGCACATCACTGATAGGGTTTCAGACAGTAGGGCCCGTGTGACAACCCACTAAGGTACCTTTGTTGTGGCTTCTTCTAGGCCGTTGGATTTCCAACAACTATTTTTTTCTAGGCCATTGGATTTCCAACGGTAAAAAAATTTCAAACACTGCTACAACGGCTAGATGACATGGCACATTATGGACCGTTGATTTCCAGATCAAAGGTCCATGTTTTTCGACTTTAAAAAATGTAAAAAAAATAAAATAAAAAAGAAAACAAATTAGAATATTACCTTTGGGCCAGCGTTGAAATCTAGACCATTGCATTTCAATTTTTTTTTAATCCAATGACCCAAATTAATTAAGTTAATAAAAGATTTTAAAAATATTCAAAATTAATAAAAAAATCTGATAAAATAATTTTTTTTCTATAAATACCTTACCAAATAAAATTACAAAAACACACCAAATAAACCTCGTAAAAAAACACACCAAATAAACTTAAAAAAACACACCTGTTGCAATCATATTTAGAATAGGAATGTGATTGTATAAATCCTAGTATATCTAGGGCTATCTTCGAATATTCCCTTTAGTAGTTATTATCTTATTAGAGTTGGTAATCCTATTAGGATAAGGATTTAACATATCATACTACTATAAATAAAGGCACAATGAGGTGATACAACACACACCTCACAATTAAATCTCTCTCTTCTCTCTCTCTTGTTGCCGGTCTCTTTCCCTCTTTTGTCTTAAATATAGTTCAGTCAAATAGACCTACAACACGTTATCAGCATGCTTTTACTAGAAGCTAAGGAGTTGAAGGATCGTAGGAGGAGGTTTTCTTCTACAAAATTCTAAGGCTTTTATTTGTTTTTTGCCAATAAGGTACACTTAAATAAAGTAAGATATTTGAAACGTCCACGAAGCATGAAACCATTCCCACTATATTTATATTTTCCTTCCGATATATTTATTGTATATGATTCATATATTTGTCAATACACACACATACACACACATGTTTCATGCATTACACAATTATTTTGGTATATGGAATTTGTGAGTCAAAGCATATAAAAAAATTAGAAACAATTTAGGGTTCTTAAAACCTTAGAAAAGTTGAAAAAAAAGTGGGAATTTAATGTGGCATGGCCGCTGTTGGCACTACCATTTAGCATCGCGCTGGCTTGCAGCCCAGCCGTGTCAAGCACGTTCTAGGACGACATCGTTTTGACGTTTAACCCATGGTAGGAGCCCTTTGGGCTTGTTGCGAGCAAGAACAATTGCCATTTTTGGCCTGTGATTGGTTTGGATTGGGTCTGCAACCCCATCCCATCTACCAGCATGGCCTGTAGCAGTTTGCTGGGCTCTGCCCTCGCACTGATGGCCTATCACCAGCAACCCATGTGTTACTGGGCTTGGTCCTGCATCTTTGGCCCGCCTGTAACAAGCTCGTGTTGCTTGTTGGGATTCACCACCCATTGGCCCACTTGCTCGCAGCTTTTGCTACTGGGCTTAACCTGCCCCGACCCAAAAACCCGAAACCTAGCCTCGGCTGGGTTTCCCTGCACCAACCCTCAAGCCAGCCTTGGGCTGGGCTTGCCCCGTGCCTTGTTTTTTGCCCAAACCAGCAGTTTTTATTACTGGGCTCACCCAGACCACACGACCCAGAGGCCTGCAACCCCCCTCGACGCCCAATGGCCAGTAGCCTAGCAGCAGGGCCTGTCCCTGCATCGTTACCAGCCCACTTTTGGTTGGGCTGTGTTCTTTTTCGACCCAATGCTAATTTTTGGCATCCCCACGTTATAAATCATGCCCAAATATTTTTTTTTGGGTACTTTGGTTTACTCTAATTAGTTCTAATTTAATTATCACTTGGTTTATCACCAACCAAAACTAATATGATCCGTCTGCCATTATTTTACTTCCACGATTGACCCCGTTTAGTCCCAATCTATTGAATTAATTAAAGGTGACATGCAGTCCATTAATCTGATAATTAATCCAAAATTATTGACCTGAAGATCACTTTTGGACATTAACGATTCAATAATTTATTTTTCTACTTTGAACCGTTGACATCCTTTCGTAGTCTCGAAGCTTTCACACTTGAGTTCCCGAACCAACTCAAATCCACTACACTTAAATCAGCATATTGCATTATTGCGTGAACTTCTCCTTTATGAACTAATTGTTCATAACTAAACTGAACTTGTAGTTTCATATTTAGTGCCTTTGAAACCCAAAGTTTTCATTCAAAACTTACCACATGAAACCTATAGTTTTCATGTTTAAATTAAACCAATACATGTCTATAAAACCCGAATGTTCTATGATGTATGTCTATGGATTACCATATGACTAACTACGTTTTGTTGTACCTTCTGTTTTAGGGATGTGTCGAACTTGAACAAGCTCGATTTCACCGCTCTGGAAGTATCTGGAAGAAACTACCTGAAGTGAGTTCAAGACGTGAAGCTTTATCTTACTGCAAATGGTATTACAGCCACCATCGAGGAACCTACCGACGCCAAACTTGTCGATGAAGTTCAGAAAGCTACTGCAATGATCTTCATTCGAAGACACATCCATGATGCACTGTAAATTGAGTACATCGCTGAGGAGGACCCACACACCATCTGGCTTACTCTGGCTGATCGTTTCGATCACCAGAAAGACATTTACTTGCATGAAGCAAGGCACGACTGGTAGCATATACACTTTCAAGACTTTAAGTCCGTGAATGAATACAACTTTGAAGTTTGTAGAATTTGATCACTGCTTATGTTTTGTAAAGTGGACTTAACAAATGCAGATATCCTGAAGAAGACCTATTCGACCTTTCATGCTACCAATATTATCTTGCAGCAACAATATAGGGTACATAAATTCACTAAATTTTCGAATTTGATCTCTGTTTTATTTCTCGTTGAAAATCAGAACCAACTTTTGATGAAAAATCATTAAGCTCGATCCACTGGCTCGAACGCTACGCCTGAAGCGCATGCGACCAATTCTAGCAGCCACAAACAATGAAAACATCGTCGTGGTCGTGGTAATGGACGGTAAGCCCACCCACGGCCCCAAGGTCAACAGAGCCATGGCCCACCCAATAGAGGAAATTTGACTAAGAAGCACTAACCTCTTGCATCTAAGGCCCCAAACTTCAAGAACAAGGGAAAAGCTACTGTTCAATCGACTTCCACTGAGATGGACATGTGTTACCGTTGTGGATCAAATGATTATTGGTCACATGTATGCCGAGCTACCCCTAAGGCTATTGCCAAATATCATTCCCATCATGAGTCTAACTTTGCCTATCATGCCCCGATCCCGACCTACGTCCAGGATTGACATGTGACGCCACCAAGTAACCATATATCCAATAGATCCCGCCTCTGGGATATGTAAGAAGCATAACTCATGAATCAAATTGCATAGTAATTTTTTGTATACTTTATGGTTGCATCTAACATCCTCGTTAGACTGCCTACGTACCCTAAATAGGGATCAAGCCATTTGTAGTTCACCATTCACTACACTCGAGTATTCATCACATAACCCACTACGTCCTAACATAATACCGCAATTCACAACATATATCATATCAAAGAACCGACGACGCACAATACCATTCTCTAGCCACATTAATTAACTAATTTGACCAAAATAATAACAATCATATCCATATTATTTCACAATCACTTCAATTAACCAATTTCATGAATCAAAGATGCTCGATATTAAAATTTCACTACGTTAACCAATCAATAAGATCACATACCAATTTATAAAATTTAATAAAGGAATTCTACATAATTCTCTACCTGGATTCAAAGTGATCACATGATAAATCTAATTTATAAACACAACGTCTACTGTGAGCAAAATCTATTCACTCAAATATAGGACCAGATTAACCTTATGGAAAAGTGCAAGAATAGGGATTCCAAACCACTCAACAGAACTAAACTAAACTATGATCGCCTATTGAAATGTACCAAGTACAAATACTTCTCATCACCCCTAGAATGCGTATGGTCCCCCATCACGGATATACCAAGCAAAACCAGAGGCATAATCCCATCGTGCAGGTAGTGATCACCCATCGCGGATATACCAAGAATGACTACCCTTGAATACATATGGTCCTCATTCGCGTATATACCAAGCAGAACCATATGCATAGTCTAATAATGTAGGCAGTGATCATCCATTGCAGATATACCAAGCATGATCACCCCTAATAGTCATCCATCACAGATATACCAAGTAGGACTGTATCCTATAGCTTTAGGTAGTGATCACCCATCGCGGATATACCAAGCATGATCACTCTTAGAATGCTTATGGTCCCTCATCGCAGATATACCAAGTAGAACCATAAGTATAGCCTAATCGTGCAGGCGGTGATCACCCATCGCAGATATACCAAGTAGGACCATCCATGTACCTCTGCTACATGGTGCAGTCAATTCAACACACAATCTACCATTACCTCAACCCCTA